TTTTTTACTCTTTTTTTTCCCTTTACAAATGTCAAAGGTCAAAATTACTTGGAAACCAAGAAAGGAGGAGGGAATATCTTCAGCCAGCATCTCAGAGAGCATGTGTATGGCAATGGTATACAAGATTCTGGATGCAATATTCAGTTACAATTACAATTCAGTAATCTTCTGGTAATGGGGGGAGGGGGATTTTTTTCACTTAAGTGCAAGCCAAATGGGTCAAGTAATCACAAGCATATGTCCTTACACTAATTGACTTATTTTGGAATTATTATAACTATAATATTTTTCTTAATGTCACCATTTTCTGGGCTGTTGGTTTTAGTGATTGAGAAAAGACAGCATTAAATCTCTTGTAAATTTTAAATTGCATGTTATTTCTGTAAACAAGTCCCTGTGTTCACATCCTGATTATTAACCTTTGGTGACTTATATCACGGTCTCCTTTTTGCACAATTACTACTGTTTCTCAGGCAGCTGCCTTCCTAACACCAGCATCTGGAACACAAAAGTGCTTTTTATAGTCACTTGTTAAGGGGCAATTTCTACTATAATCTTGGTTTATTTCTCATTCTTAAGTTTAAATTGTCACCTTTAAAATAACAAAGCTATAATTTCTGTAGCCATTTTTGCTACCTTTTAGAGGAAAACTGGAAATTAATTAAGCAAAAATATCAACAGCTGAGGCTTAATAAATCAAGATTTCTGTACTTCAAACAGAACCAAAAATGTTGGTTGTTGGTATTTTGTTGTTTCTGCAAAGGGCTTCATTGAATAATTCTTTTACTGCTTCTTGTGCTCTATACTGTATTTCATTTATAGGATCCTTATAGTCTGAGATTTTATTCTTTCTTCATTAAAAAAAAAAATGGGAAGCTTTAAACTACATAAGCTTGTCTGTCTCCAAAAGATGACTGGGTTCATCCTATTGTTGCTGCAGCCAATGTACTGCTATGTTAGTAAGATCACAGTAGTTGGTAGGAAACCTGTCATGCACGCTGTGTGTAATGCAAAAGTCCACTATCATCCAATCCTTGAAAAATTACAGTCTGTTGATATAGGGACCAAACCTTTGCAAATCCCATCTATCCTGGCTTGATATTTGTAATAAGAATAAGTTTCCTAGCAGAATATGTCTGTGTGTTCTTTCTCAACCATTCGAGATAAATTCTAACATTTTATCCTCTGGCTGAAAGGAAACAGTCCTGAGAGAGACATTTGGCAGATAACCAGAAAAAGCTAGCACCTTGACAGAATTGATCACTTGCAAAAATGGTCCTGAACAGGCTGGGTTTCAGTTATCAGTATGGCTAGGCAGAATTCTTGAGGGCAGAAAATCCATCCCTTGCATAGACCATGGTCTTGTTCCCTGATAGGGCTGGGTTGCAGTGCCTGTTAATACTGTAGGGGGCAGAGGACTGCCATCCTCTTCTGCTGCCGTCATGCACCCCATTTCCATTAGGAAATCAAGGCATTGTACCTTGATGGCACAGGCCAGTCTCTCATTTCCAAGATCGGAAAGAATAATTTTAAGACTACATTATACAACACATGTGAAGTACAGCCCAGGTGCTCCTGCTTATAAATAACAGTCATCCCTTCCGATTCGCAGGTGATCTGTTCCCCCGCACACACACACCCGTGAATCAGAAAAATCACCAATATTGGGGTCTCATTTATTTCAGTGACCATTTTGTTCCCTCCCCACTCGCTGGCCACAAAGAGCAAGACCGCAGACCCCAAGTCTGAGAACGGGGAGGGATGCCTGTACTAGGAAACATTTCAGTGAGTTTGTCCTTCTTATTGGATGCTTTGGTATGCATATTTTAAGTAGCTGTCCGTACAGTGCATTGGTGCACCTAGTGACACATTGGCAGAGCACAATCATGGAGACTTCCTTATATCTTGCTCATCCCCTGTAGTTCTCTGCCTGGAGCAGAGGGTTGCTGCCATAGAGGGCCAGCTCATGGAGCTCCAAGGCAGCCTCCAATCCCTCCTGGAAGAACAAACGCTGTCCAGCAATGACGTCTCCCTGCCCCCATACATTTCTCATTTCTTCCCTTTCCCCCCATGGCTTACTGTTCGATTAGCCAGTTTGTTAATGTTTTTATTAAATTTGTTTTGCTGTTGGTAACCTGATGTGTTTATCGTCATGTTATATCACAGGATGTGCAGTATGTCAATGGTGCAACTGACCATTCATGTGCTTGAGCAATTGAGTTACAGGCAGACAACAACAAAAATGGCTGGTAAAGGCACCTGCAGCTTACCGGGCCCAGGGGTGCCTGCTCGAGACCACATCAGCCGGCTGCCTGGCTGTCTGCACATCAGTGAGATAATTCACTCTTTCCAGGTTACAATCTTGGGATTTATTTTGCGCCAGTGTAAAGCCTGGTGTAAGCATAGCTTGAATCCATTTGCCTCCCATTTTGGCCACTTCTGTAATCTAAACAGATGCCATTCAAAACAGGTCAGGCATTTCTTTCAGTCCATGCAGATACAAACAGCCGAGAATGGCTTACAGATGGTTAATTTGACAATTCCCTACCCTTGGTCTTACAATCTAAAAAGACATGAAGTACAAGAAAAAGGGTGTGGCACTGGGGGAGATGATTAAAATACTAGCTGGCGTTCTTTCCCTGAGAGGCCAGAGCAGTGATAGACGGCATGATGGAGCTGTATATGAGAGTCATGAAAGTATAGCAACAGCCTGTTGCTCCTAACTCTTAAACCCCTTGATTTTAATGCATCCAGAATAATAATACATCCAAAATACATTTCATTAGAAATCAAGGAATATGTTCCTGATGCTTCAGTACTCTCATGCATCTGCTCATTTTTTTACACTTGAGTATATTCAACTGTTTCTCTAAAAGGGTTAAGGCAATATACATAGACCTTTTTCCATTTTATCCTCACAACAGCTGTGTAAAGTAAGACTGAGTGGCTTGTCTAAAGCCAGCCAGTAAACTTCTCTACTTATGATGGGAACAGTCTAGCACAGGGGTAGGCAACCTTTCCCCTTTAAGGGCCGAGGGACTTCAGCTCCCAGAATCCCAGGAGCTATTGACCAACATGGGACTATTGGCCAACATGGCTGAGACTTCTGGGAAATGAAGTTTCTCGGCACTTAAAGGGGAAAGGTTGCCTACCCCTGGTCTAGCAGCTCTGTGAAGGTGTGGACAATTTTTCAAGTAAGTTGATCCCAAGTTTTGAAGGCTTTTTATGTTAACAAGATCTTGGAGGTAGCCTGGCAGTAAACCAGAAGCCAGTGCTATTGCCTGATCACTGCATATATGCATATATGGCCTGGCGACTGATGTGATGCTTATAGCATTTACATTGTGACATTCTGCACAAGTAACAGTTTCCAGACCAACCAACCGCAAGAAATGCACCACATAGTTAGCCTTACAGTAATCAAGTGATGAATTTACTAATGCATTTGTCACAGTGGCCTAATTGTTCCTGTTCAGAAAAGAGTGTCATTAGTATACCAATCAAAGTTGGTAATAGGCTCTACTTACCATGAAGTTTCCAGAGCCTCCATGAATAATAGGGATGGAAAGAATTTTCAAAAAACATTTTTAAAATGGTTGAAAATGTGTTTTTCAAATGTTGAGACATGCTAATCAAGAAGAATCTCGAGCAAATGAAAATATTCACAGTTCAATACTTACTCTGTGCAAAATTCACCTGTGGGTTTTTGCCCCAGTAAACAGCATTACAAGAAACAGCATTTTCTGTGCAGAAAATAGTATTGCTACAGAAAAATATCATTTTCTTTACAGAAACAGGTGCTTTATGCACAAAGAATGTTGTAATGTGCAAAATGATTGATTTGCATACTTCCTCACAAGCAATAGCATTTCTGTGCAGAAAATATTGTTCCTGCATAGGCATACTTTTTGCACAGAAAATGCAATTTCCTATGTAGAAAATGTTATTTTCTATGTAAAACAGCCATGTGTGGATTTTATGCAAAATAAGTTTCAAATTGTGAATAGACTTCAAAACTGTGTTTTTTGAAGATTTTTTTGCAGCAGGGAGAATGTTGCCAAAGTTACTAATTGAGAAGAAAATTAGTCTAGAGCAGGGGTAGGCAACCTTTTTGAGCCGGGGGCCGGGTTGCTGTCCCTCAGACAATTGACGGGCCGAAGCACCAAAAATAAATAAATAAATAAATAAATAAATAAATGGATATTTTAAAAGAATTTTAAAAATTTAAAAAAATGCATACACACTCTCTCAGCCCCAGAAAAGCCATGGCAAACCCCCAAGAACAAGTAATAACAACAATAATCAGTATCATCATGGGGGGGCGGCAGCGACAGGACCGGTTTGGGGCCGGCCCAAAGGCCTTGCTGGGCCGCATCCGGCCCCCGGGCCTTAGGTTGCCTACCCCTGGTCTAGAGTTACATCCCTCATGGATTTGTGATAGAGCTAGGAGCACCTCAGTGCTATGTGCTTATTTATTCAGGGAGTTGCCCTTTTCTTTAGAGAAGTGCAAGATTATCCTGGACATAAATCACCAAATCCTGGGCCTTGATCACTCACCCACAGACTCTATTTTGTCAGGATTTAGCAGCCATGTATTGGCCCTCACCAATGCATCCAGTCAGTGACCAAGAGCAGGCACAGGCTGTGCTCATTCAATTGTTGGGTGGAGTTTGATGTTATCTGCTTACTGGTAATTTTGTGACCTCAGTGGCTTTACATTGATATTGCTTAATATTGTGTACTGCTCTTCAACAAACTGTCAGGTTTGTTGAGGTTCAGTCATTCTGTTCTATACTCTGGAACCAGCTCCACAGACAAGAACAAAATCTTTGTGAAATGAGCATTGATACCAACTCAGACCATCTTATACCATCTCAGTGGTATCTAGCTTCTGCAAGATCAAGGGTGGCACCCCCCCATCTCTCTCACAGAGAGAGAGAGAGATCATAACAGGATGACCAAGGTTAGAAAATCAAGGATAGTAGAGAAAGTTAGCCAAAGCCAGTGTGGCATAATGGTTTGTGTGTTGGATTACAACTCTGGAGACCAGGGTTCAATTCCCAGCTTGGTCATGAAACCCACTGGGTGGCATTGTGCAGGTCACACTCTCCTGGCCTTAAGGGAAAGCCATGTCAAACCTCTTCTGAAGAAATCATTCCAAAAAACTATATGATGCATTCCCCTACGTATGCATTAGGAGATGCAATGCAATAATATCATTGATGATTAGTGATTTTATTTGTCCTGGAGAAATAACTGGCTGTTTTATTCTGCATGTGTGTCTTCTACCATTCTCTATTTAAATCCACAAAACTTTGGTGATTATACATTTTCTAGTATCCTTCAACGGCACACACACACAAAAAAAACACCACCTCCAGCCCATTAACCCTCTGTATGCCAAATTTCTAGGAAATAACTGATGACTAATTGGCCCACTAACCTTTTAGGGGAGAAATAAAGTAAAGAATGATGACAACATGGACCCATGTTATGAGTTGGATTTTTTGTGAAATCAGTTTGATGGCCAAGTTGCTTGCCCCTAAGGATGCAAAATTAGCCATGTGGGACTTCGTCTGCATAGAAACTGGACACAATTAGAGTAATATTCACAGTTGTTAATGCAGTTTTGGGTAATTGGACAAGTTGATTTTGACAGGTTGATGGTGCTAAAATATTATTACAGTGGACCTTTCCATGCATAACAGTTAAACTTAGAAAACTGTTTAATAAAATGTTGTGATTGGGCTCACAGGGATTTAAACTGCACAAGCTGTAATACTGCTGGATTAAAAAGTTAACCATTTAGTTGTGGAACTGCAGTTTGAGTATCTATTCTCTGTATCTATGTGAATAGAGATTACTACTATTTCTGCTAAACCACTATAACTAGATTCAGAGTCTTTGGGTACATAATTAGCCAGATCACTCCTCAAATTAGTTTCCGAAGCAGAAACCTTGTATCTTTTTTCTTGCTTAAAGGGACACCAGCTCTTAGGGTTTGCCAGACTCTCTGCCTCACTGATCTTTGTTTTCAAATTTCATTTTGCTTAAAAATATATGAGAAAGGTTGATATATTGCAAAACAAAATGCTGGTTTTCAGTATAATCTTTATTGCCAAGAATAACACCCAGGCCCAGAGGCATTCTTCTTAGAATGTGTCTTAGAATGTCTTTAAGGATTTGTGTGGTATTCTTAGAAAATGCAAATTGTATGTTTTGCCCACGCTATGTTCACATGTTAGCTGCTTTGTGTATTTTGGTATTATGTTTCTTTTCTCTGAACTTTTTATTGGTGAAGAGAGCCAGCATGGCATAGTCTTTTGAGTGATGGACTACGACTCTGAAGACCAGGGTTTGAATCCCTGCTTGGCCATGGAAGCCCACTGGGTGACCTTGGACAATTCACACACTCTCGCATTCAAAGGAAGGCAAGAGCAAACTCCCTCTGAACAAATCTTGCCGGGAAACCCCCCACGATGGCCTTAGGATTGCCATATGCACATAGGAAATGAAACAAATATATAAGCCTTACATAAGTAAACAAAAACAGTTTGAATTTCTACAGACCACTTGTTAATCTAACATGGATCAGTCTTCTCCATGCTCTTTAAAAAGAAATATTTTTAAACATATTGTTATATAAATACCTCCCACTTCTGAGCAGAGGAAAATTTCAGACTGCATACTCTTACATTTTTAATTCTGACAAGCTTTCAAGAACTGACAGTTTTTAAAGACAGGGCTTTTTAGAAAGTGCGTCATTGTTTTAACTGCACTACTTTTAAACCACTTTTTAATCATTTGTGTTGTATGTTTCAATTTGTTTTTAAATATTATCAATGGTTTAATTTCATTTTAATGTTGATCTTTTGTATGTTTATATTATATTTTAATTTCTAAGCTGCTCTGAGTCTCAGTTTTTGGGGGAAAGCAAGTTATAAACAAAATTATTTAGTGGTGGCGGTGGCAGTGGTAATATTGTTGTCATCGTCTCATTTTCAGTTTTCTTAGAAGAAGGTTGCTGGAAGCCAGTGGTGTTCCTGCGATATAACATTTCTTTGTACATACACAGCCTGAGCATAAATTGGAGCTGATAATGCTAATAATTAACAGAGTCTTTTTCCCCACCAGATGTCTGATAGAAAACTGTATCCCACATGGTGTTTGCTGCAGACAGCAAAATTAGCTCTTTCCTCTTCTTCAAACCCAGTTCCAACACAGAAAGACTGCCTTATAGAAAGACTAGCCTGTTTCTGTTGTTCTAACCCCATACTCAATTAGCACCTTTCAGAGGAAAGCAAGAGAGAAAGATGGTCATCCCTGCCTCTCACCTTGGCTGATCCCTGTTCCAACTTAAACATACTGGGCAAGGAAAATGCTCTCTGCCTTCTGTCTCCCCCTCCTTTATGTAGTGATTAAAGTGAAAGAAAGAAAAAAGATGTCAAGAACAGGCTGTGCATAGACTTGGAGCTACTTTTCTTCCTATCTCTCAGGGCTCAGTAATAGTATTGGAAACAGTTCTCTAAGCTGCCCTGGCAAGCTCTTGGTACAGATTAAATCAGAAGGTAAGGTGTATAAGAAAACCTGTAACAAGAGATGTGCAGAAATAAGCTAATCTATTTTGGCAAAGAATTTCTGGATAGATCAGTAAAACAGTGAATGAATTATTCCATGGAGGTGAAGTCAGTCTGGCAATAGAGGTGAAGTCAATCTGTAGTATAGCTAAATTTGTGTGGGAGACATTCCATCATTCTGAACCCAGCCTCTTAGTTCTGGGGTAGGGCACCATTCTGTACAGCATCAGGTATACCATGTTGTTACTTAGTTGTGATTTCTGCATACAATTACGTGATTCATCTCAGGGTACTCACTTATTGTTATGTCTCCGTATGTCACAGTTGTGTAATGGGGACAGTGTCTTCTGAATGGTATAAATGCAGTAAAGAACACATGTGTTTTGTGCCATGTAGCAAATATTGGTACTAGTACTGTTACTGTTCATCTGTAGCCATCTGCTTGAATTCTTTTCTCGTACCTGCTTTCTAGTTTGGGCACATTTTGTGTGTGAATTGTGGTGCACCCATGGTTACCAGTGAACCATGTTCCTGGGCTGCAGTGCTCAGGCCCTTATCCTAACTACTCAAGCACATTCTGTGAAATGGTGGGAGGTATTTTAGTGTTTGGATCTGAATTTGTCACTTGCTTTTATTTGATAACATAGCAGTTGACTTTTACGGTATCTTATGGAGTGAGTGGTCAGAATAACTAGATTACGACATTTATCTAGGGTTGCTAGATAAAGTAAGGAACAGGGCTCCTGTTCCTTTAATGGTTGTACAGATCAGGGAATTTCATTGGGTGTTGGTTTTCATGCAAGCAACACCTACTGAATGTCCCTCTTCTACATAACCATTAAAGGTACAGGAGCCCTGTTCTTTACGTCATCTGGCAACCTGAAATTTGTCTAAGACAAATGGGAATACATAATTCCTTTCCAAAACTGTATATATTAAAGTGGTGATGACATGTACTAGTGCTCGTAAGTTAAATTTCAAAAATATACAGCTACCATACATCCCAAAATAATCAGTATCGATTACTATGTATCATAGCCAAACTAGGAATGACGAGACGTTCGTGTCTCTCTTTGCCACTTTTAAATGAAAAGCAACCTTGGAAAGCTGGAAGTAGAAAAATCCTTGGTTCCAGCTTTCATTTTTCTGTTAAAATTCAACCAAGTACACCCTACACAAAAATCTTTTCTCTGTGAGGAAGAATATATAGTGTTATATTCATGGGGTCACCATGAGTCAACAAGTGACTTGAAGGCACATACCCACACACACATCACACACACACATACATATACCGGCAAGTAAGAAACCAGCTGGAAGGAGGGCAGATTTGCAAGGGCCAACAACTGAAATGGAAAGGGTTAAAGATACCCTGCCTACCATCACTCTACCATTCCTAACTACAGTCTTACAAGACGGCTTTTTATTTTAAATACAGTTGTACCTCCATTTTCGTGGGGGAATCTGTTCCGGATTCCCCCCACCACCACAAAAATGAAAAAACCCAAATATTAAAGGCCCGTTGGCTTGAATGGGCGTGTGTGCCATTATTTCTCTCCTGGCATCCTGTGTGTGGAAACTCAAGACCGGGGATGGGAAGTCCACAGAATAGGAGGGACGACTATAGTGATAAAAGAGCTGTGGAACTCATTGTTTCATTTTCTTGTTCCTTTAAATATAAATATGCCTGTGTCCTTCCCCTCTCACCTCTACCTTCCACTTCTATTTCAGAACAAGAAGAAAATTTTGAATTTATCATTGTGTCCCTCACTGGTCAGACTTGGCACTTTGAAGCAACAACATATGAAGAAAGAGATGCTTGGGTCCAGGCTATAGAGAGTCAGATCCTGGCCAGCCTGCAGTCATGTGAAAGCAGCAAGAATAAGGTTAGATGTACAACATTGATTAATGGAAAGGAATGACTGTTTTCAGCATTTAGAGCCTCTATAAGGCCTAAAAAAAGAAATCTTGGCAAGCGTTTTTATGTCTATATATTATATGTATATATTATCCCAATGTACTTTTTATCCTTTTTTTACAGTAACAGTAATTTTTCATTTTTTCAGCTTCCCTTACAATATCACATTTGAAAAATTCTTTTAAAAAAAATAGAAGTAGGATTTTGCCAGAGCAGTGTTGTACTGCTCTGCCATTTCAATACATTCTTGCTTAGGTTTTCAGTATAAAAGTCTCCCACCTATGCCAAAACTGCTGTCAAAATCCTATTTTTGACAATGTCTTTTAGCTATTAGTACATGTTTGATAGTGTTTGTCTCACATATTTTTTTGCTGATGGTTGCCTCAGAACTGTAATCCTAGTTCTGTGGCTTTGGTCAGATAATTTGTTTGGATGTTCCAGTAGGGCTTAGTCAGGACTAAATGTAGTTGTATCAGGGCATATGTCCTTAAATACATATTCACACTCTTTTGTCCTTTAAAAGGAAAAACTCAGGTTTTTTTTCTGTTCTATAATTAAGTTCAGTACATTAAACATG